ATCGAGGAGATGTGACAGATATGCCCGCCGGATGGACTGGGAAATTTGGCTACTTGTTCATGAATTTCGTCCTACATGATCTCTCATTCCCTGCCAAGGCTGTACAGGAGATGTACCGGGTGCTGCAGCCTGATGGAGCCCTCTCGGTCTTCGAAACCAACACCTATTCTAAGCTCCGGGATAACCTTACGAAGTTTGACGACCAAAGCCGAGTCAACATGGTGTACACGTACAGCCTGTACATCTGCGTGCCCACCTCCTTATCGTTGGAGGGCGGGGCAGGCCTAGGCGCATTCTGGGGGAGGGAGGAAGCACAGAAGATGCTTGAAAAGTTTCACTTTGATGTTCTGTCTGTAACAGAGGTAACGGTGGATGAGCTTCATCTGATGTGTAGGAAACGTGCTTCCCAGAATTAAAATCGACTGATCGAGCATTGTGAAGAAGTGACAAGGTTCACGTAGAAAGGGAGGCGTTTCTCAAAAGGGGGTAACACAACAACTCTATGGCAGCGATTAAACCAATGAACAGGAAGGTTTAATGAAGAAATTGTCTGTGTATTATACCCAGTTAATTAGAAAACAGTGGTGACTTACAATTGACCAGGATACTGTAGCAATCTTGGGGGAAACTGTGATTTGTGAATAGAATGGTGGAGCTGAAACCAGTGATGAAGTCTTGGAAATATATGGAACAGGAAACTTGGTGACTTGGGAATAAACAGAAATAAATACTAATAAATTCACTGGAATGCACGTACATGTGCCCACTAGACGACAACATAATTGTACATGTAACGCTGCAACAATTGTCCCCGATTAAGGCTAAGCTTTGTACTCTAAAATCCTCTATTTTACATAATAACACAAGAATCACTATATGATCTTATACTATAAACACTATAGAACATATGGCTGTACTCCCAATTGTTAGTAACGCACGGTAAGGGCAACTTTGGAGGTATTTTGATTGGAAATTTGCTTGGTAAACCAGATTTTAGAACGGAATGGACGGTGCGAGAATGAGCAAACCACTGACATGACTGAGGGCGCCCTACCAACTATTGCTCGATCAGTCGACAGTGAGGGACTTTCTTACAAGCATGTCATATCAGAGAAATGTCAGTAAGAAAAAAAACCCTTTTAAATTTAATGTTCCTTTAAATACTAAGTAAGAAAATTCGTTGCACAAACGCAAATTATTCAAGGTTTGACAGTGTGATAGAGTATTCATAAACAATCTGTTGGCGTGGTTCATACACAGAGTTAAAGGTCTTTTCTCAACGCTCCAAATGGTGTATTGATATAAAAATATCTGTTAGTGTTATTTTTGATCAGATTGATCTAATTTTGACATGTACCAGCTGTAATACTTTCCAATGATGTATTTCTAACAAATGCAATGTATTGCTAACAAATGCCAATAGTTACTTATGAATTTATTAAAAGTTCACTGGGGCTCATTCCAAACGATACGACTGATGATACAACAGCAGCAGTTTTGGATTGTCGTCGTCAGTGTGTTAAATATTTCGGAACTAGGTCTGAATGGATTACATTTTATGCTAGGGTACGAAACTAAGTCCAATCCTATTTTCAATAATGATTAAGAGTGTATTGTTTCAACTCGTTGCAAAAAAAACGACGATTGTTTCAAGGATTATGGGCCAGTCAAGTCTCTTTTTTAGAAACGGACGAATCAATCGTAGAAAGAGACTGCTTCTGATTTGGGAACTCGTACATTTTATTTATTATGTCCTGATGAAGAGGATGACGTGAAATAATTCTTAGCAACTCGTGCGACCATGCACTATGGCGTCCTCGGATTTCCAAATAAAACGGCTGCCTGCAATAGCGAAGATAACTTTTTCACTCCATCAAAAGAGGCCAGACCGAAATGCAACTCGTGAGAAGTTGTGAAGGTAAGACTAACTGCATTAATAATAATATCTATTTAAAGTGAGATCAAACTTCATTTTAAACAAGTTGGCGATAACATAAGAAGAATCTTCTCTTTAAACAAGTTACTTTTAAGTCTGGTTTGTTGGTAGCTGAAGTGCCACGGTTGGCCATTACTGTGACGTCGCTACTTTTTTCAAGGTGTAGATTAATTTTACGAATTTACAAACAATGTGGTTGGTTACAAATCTACGGTTAGTGTTTTACGAGCCCAAAGTTATAGTAAATTCGTATCGACTACCCCTCCCCTCGTTTCGATCATCAAAGTGTGACCTGAGGATTGGATTGCTCAAAAGCAACATAACTGTTGTTGGTGTTGTGTTGTTTTAATGGCGCTTTCAGCAACTCAGGCTATTTGCGCCAATAACTGTACGTTTATTCATACACTTCATTAATCAGCATCACATTACGGAGTTAGGAAGAAGGTCAAATTTTAGAGGCAGGAGGAAACCGGAGTACTTGGCGAAACTTGTATTTAGTCTGGGTCATTAATAATTAAGGCACGTCTAATTTATACATTAAACATACACGTGGCAACCAATCAGAGGCACGCATTACCTTAAGTCTGGGCGCTGGCTGCTTGGGTTGCAAGGACTTCTCAAGATGGCAGCGTGCTAACCAGAGCTCTGAGGAGTTGTGTTGTATTCTGAGTTTCGAGTGTAAATCTGACGTACGACCGCTGGTGGTTGGGGATGTACCTCAAGTGTACCTGGTGCGATCGGTTAGTGTGGTGCTTTTTCTCAGTTGCCGGAGCTGCCGATTATATCAGATCTCTTTGAAAATTGGGGAATCGTTAGACAGTCTCGTTTATTTAAGAAGTGGTAAATTATAGGGTTAGGGAACCCGAGCGAACCAGTTAATTGGGGAATTAGCGAAGCTTAGACTAGAAGGATTGTGTGCCGTCGTTTCATGCTTGTTGGCATAGCGACGGTTGATTGCGGTCCTGGTCTGGGAGCTTGCTTTCCTCGTTGAGGTTTACTGGGTGCAGGTTTCCGTTAGAGTCTGGTGAGGACTATTATAATCGCCTTCGTAATCAACTTACCTGTGTTATTTCGTAATAACTTGAAGTGGGTGAGGGTTATTTAAGTCACCTTAAACCTTGTTGCAGTTTGGGAACAGTATTGCTTCGTAAGGCAGTGTAGATTATTGTTGTACAACTCTACACCATTGTGTTGTGTTGTACAGTTACGAAGATTGTATTTGCTTGTGTGGTCAAGACTTATCAGTTATAAGCCATCGGTAGATTATTTCTTTAGACTTGAGGGTTACCCTGATCACTGTGAGGGTTACCTGGTTATTGTGAGGGTTACCCTGATCGCTGTGAGGTTTACCCAGATCGCTGTGAGGGTTATGCTGGTGTAGGTTAAGGATAAGGCTGATTAATCACGTTCGTGGTGCAGTTGACCACGTAGGACTACCTCCCCGTGAGGATCATTTTGTATATAGTTAATTGCTGTTGTATATAAAGGATAACTGAGCACTGAAATTGAATAAGCCAATCATATAATTGCCTTAGAAATCACTGGTCACCGTAAGATTTAGTTCAGTCCTGTATCACTTATTGACATTTATTGTAATCTTTATTTGCATTGGGATCAATTACCTAATCACTGGTAAACTTCCACCAAACGAACAGCCCCTAAGGCATAGTCCACCGTTCGTGAACTGATATCCTTCCTTGCGTTTGGATAGCCGCTCATTCTTGTGTAAGGTTAAATAAATATATTTGTGGGGCTAGGCCAGGTCAATTCTATCTCCGATCAGGCTAGTCAGTTGCCCGCCACAGTACCCGGAGAAAACCTGCGAGAGCGAATATGGACCGGAAACCAAATGCGCTTAAAGCCTGGGCCAAGCCGGGACTCGAACCTGGGCCTCATTGGGACAAAGCGAGGAAAGAACCGCTACCCTAACCCGCTCCCCCCAAAGCAAGAAAGCATCGTGTTGCCGTGAGACTGATTCTAGTGGGCCTCGTAATAGTTAACAAATTTACAGTTAACAAATTTAAGAGATACCTGGAACGCCCACACTCCGGCCTTATTGTGTACGTTTGTTTTTCACCAGACAAAATGACATAGGTTGCTATCCCTCGTGCTTTCAAAAACAATTATTTGTAAAGTAAAATTTTCAACAAGGATTTGAATTTTCTCTTCACCTTTCAATAAGGAATTAATTTGATGTGTTTTGGCTGCTTTTCCGTGTGTAGGTTTTGCACACTCTTTTTTTATAATGCTGGATTATAGCTTAATTGAATTGACACAGACTTGGGTACATATTCTAGTTGTTCCAAGGTTATACCGGTCCTGAGGTGACAGATCTGTCATAATCGCTTCTCCCCGAGCACATATATGTAATGTTGCCCATAAATGTTCTTCTATTGCTAATACCTGTAGTGCTATAAGCAATTGGAAATGTGCGCTTAATAGAAATTCATAAATGCTATTATTTAACTCCAAAATTGGCATCGTAATTGGAATCTTAATTTTTTTCATTTTCCAAGTGAAAATAGCAATATGTATTGAGGGGGCATTTCGGAATGATTCACATATAAGAACATTTAAGTATCAGTGAAGCTCATTTTAAGTGGTAATAGCAAAAGTGTCATAGACTCGGGACTCCATGTTCGTGTAACAATGGGAAATAGCTTAGGTCAGAGAATAGACTCGGAAATGGCGATTCGTGAGAAAAAATCTTAGCACCAATCTTCTTAGCACAACTCTGCAGTTCTTCATCCATTCTCCTTGACATATTACTGTGCACAAAGACAGTAAAAGTGGAAAGACTGTGAAAAAGAGTTTTCGACCATCACTATTCTGAATTTTACAGACATTAGTTTTCATTTTACACTTCTTTCGAGCATCAGGTTTCAAGTTTAAAAGCAGTTCTCAATTCTCAAAATACAGCGAAATTTCAAGTGGTCTGCTGTTATGTGTTTAAATTATGGTTCAACTCCCCAAACAAAGTCGTCTCTACTGTTCTCCGTAGATGCACAGAGGTTTGGTCATAATAACAAATTTCTCTTTGTTTACATCGAAGCGCCTTGAGTCATTCAGCTGGCAGATTTTCTCGTTACCTCGGTGAAGCACGTTGAAAGAGAGGCATCTGGGCTCCTTGTGGCATTTCACTGCGCAATCATTGATGTTGGCCACTGGAAACTGGCAAATCACGTTACCCATCAGGCAAGATGCGAAAAGTCGCCAGGACTGCAGCTGGAAATTGTCTCCACCGATGGGATGTTCACAAACTGCGTAGTGAGAATCTGCGCAAGATGTGTCCCTCCATTCGCCGGTGGAAATCATCCTTGCGCAATGGGGAGGGTTTCCATTGAAGTTGGGTTCACCCGACCTCCAGTTCCTGTATGTCTGCATGCTGTTCCCGCGGCAAACCCACTGTCTTTGATTCTTGATGTCAATGCAGGCAATCCAAAGTTCGTCCCTGCTACCCTCAATCAAACTCTTAATAAAGTCATTTTCTGCCTGGGACCCAGGAGCCATTATCACTCCACCCATGCAGCTGCACCTATCCCGTGCTTCAGTCCAACTCAACGGTTGGTCGGTGCGAGCATAGCAGGTATCATTCCATTTTCTCCAACCTGGGCCACATGTGTCATGTCGTACACAATCATTTGCCGTAGTGTAAGTGACGCCAATCAGCATGGTGCATAAAAGGAGAAAGTCCTGGCTAATCCGAGGCATGGTTTCTTTTTTGGTCCTTTTTAGGTCAATTGAAAAAAACAAAGAAAAAAACAAAACCAAACAGTACAGCAACCAGCAAACCCCACTCTGTTGGTGGACGTTACGTATTTTGATGCAGAGTTTCTCGCATCCAGCAGCCAAATGACGCTCTTATTTGGAAAGGGTCATTTATGCAGTAGACTGGATTGCTCCTGCTCCTGCAATATATTTTATTTTATGCTATTTGTTGTTAATTATGTATCCTCTATGGTCCGTATACACCTAGGCCGACAGGTTATCTTCAATATGTATTCTGATAATGGACGATGCTCATCTTTCTCATTTAGAGAACCGTCCCTGCTAGGGTTTAACGCTTTTGATAAATTATTAACTGAAAATATTGAAATTATTCATCTTTTATTGGCGTTATACTCTCGGACTAAAAGCTAATTGAGCTTCAAGTATCTATTCTGGTTACCTCTGGAGGTATCGCTGCTCATTAATATTTAACCCCTTGAAAGGTGGAACTAATTTTTTCTTCATCCTGGCATTGTTGTTATCTTCTCGTACTCGTGTATGGCGTAGTTCAGTAGTATGCTTAATACCACGGGGCATTCAGTTTAGATACTGTTCGCGTGAGTTTTAAATCGGAAGTACATACAGATCCAAAGTCAATAAAATGAACGATTTCTGGAACGTATACAAGAAACAACAAAAATATCAAATTATGGAAATCCGTTTGCCAATTCAGGGTTTTAAGATGTTGGCTTTAAATTTTGTGTCAGAGAAACTGGGGCGCCTATTAAAATTCGTTTATGCAAAAGTACCAGTGGATATTTTTGAATAATAATCTGTTTATAATTAATAATTAATTATCCCATTTTTCGAAATGTTAAGATCTTTGCGGAGACCATATTGGTATAAGTGTCTGAAGCCTCAATATTCCTGAATGTCAACCTTCCTACGCGTACACTGTCATGAAATCGCTGTTGCTGTAAGGTTTGTCGGGAATAGGCCAATTTTTCTTGCAGATCAAATTTGTGCTGTCAACTAACACGTGTATGTTTCTGCTCTGAGTCAATCTGGACTACCCTTGCCCCGATGCCTACAATATCTCAACTGACGAAATACCGGAACAAGTGAACCTCACGAACGCGTTTTATGGGACGGACAGCCTCGGAGAGACAGTGGTGATCTGTGTTGATGCCATTGACTCAATGGTAAGGCAAGTGATGAGGCTTTTCAACATCGATATTACCTTGATTTGACTGGATTCCCTCTTAAATGACACTGACTTTAAACCAAACTTGTGACGTCACCCTAAAAAGGTTGCCCATTCTCGAGGCATTCGTTAACATAGTGAACACTTAAATGTACATTCTTATAGAAATTGGACGATCGAAAATAACATGAAAGACGCAGAAATCGCATTTATAACGTAAAATTATTACAACCTCAACGAAAGTATTCTAACAGTAAAGTACGCTATTTAAATTGTTCTTTGTGTTCATGTTTTCTGTATTAGTTTAGCTTCCGCGCTAATGTTTTCTGTTTCATTTTCGGTAGCCGTTACAGATTTTTTTTTAAAGTGAAAAGCTTCTTTCATTTCCCTTCACTAGAAACAAGAGTTAGTCACTTTGTGCTCAAAATGCGTAGTACGGGTAAGTCGGGTCTCACTTACTTATTAAACAAAGACAGGACTAATATTTAGACAACAGTGAGTGACTTTGGTCAAATTGGACAAATATTTGACGTATCTTTGACAAATATATGTTAGTCATGGGCATTTCTGGTAATTCCAATTAGTCATTGGCCTGTCTGACTTCTTTAATGGTCATCTTAGACAAAAAACTGGACTTTCTGTAATAAGTCATGGGAACTGATTTTTCTTTATATACAATGTAATTTTTTAATTTGCCTTTTTGTCCATATTTGTGACTCACTCTGTGAAAATGAGTTTTAAGTTGCCTGAGCCACTTTGGAGTAAAAAGTCCTTTAGAATA